TCTCTCTCTCTCTCTCTCTCTTTCTTTCTTTCTCTCTATCTTTCTATCTAAAATTTTATTTTTAAAAACAATTAAATTAAATCTATAAATTAATGTAATGCAAAAACCATATGGTCCTATTGCCCACTTTAACCACAAAATTGTTGCACTTTTAACAGGTTTAATTTAGTTGAACTCCTTGTGATTATTATAAAGTGTTAATTAAAACATTTAGCGCTTAAGCTATCATTTTATATTCAAACATTTTGACATTTCGCGACATTTCAGGTAAACAATATTAAGTTATTAATAATAATTATTATTGAAATTCATTATTAAACATGCTACAAAATGAATTTGTATATGATCATGTCATATTATTTAATATTAAGTATGTTCAACAATTGTGTGTAGCGTTGCATTAGGTTAATACAATTTAAATTATTATTAAATTATATCACCAAATGTTATATCTTTATCATAAACATAATTATTGTGTTATCATAACAACTGATAAGTGAACAACACTTGTCATCACATTTAGTAATAAATATTAACCGTTTAAAAATACATTAAAATGATATTTCAAAACAATTATATAAATTTTAGTTTTTGACTAAATTATAAAGTCTTAATTGTAATTAATAAGTTGCATATTACTTGTCATAGTTTGTTAATTAAATATTATTATATAAAATATTATTCAAACACAATATGAGTGAAAAAACAGCGACAAAAATATGTGAGATTTGCGGCGATAAGGGAATCGGTATTTACATTATATTTGTCATTACTTTTAAATAAAATTAATAATTATACTATAGTATTAATAGTTATATTTTTACCTTGTACCATTTTGTATGGCCATAAATAGCCCGCAACTTCGGCGCAATGTCTTGTCAGTCATGTAAAGCATTCTTCAGGGGATTTGGTCTCAAGAATAAGGTTTTTAATTTAATAGTAATTGAAATAAAAATTAATTTAATTATAAACACAGATATTTCGGTGTCCAACAAATGGTAAATGCATTTTACATACAAATGATGTGAAGAGGAAATTGTGCAAAAGGTGTCGGTTAGATAAGTGCTTTGCGGTGGGGATGAGAAAGGTGAATATGGCGGTGATTTTTACCACAATTAATTTAATTTCACATTTATTTTATGCAGGAATTAATACGAAATAATGCCGAGAAAGAGAGGGTTAAACAATTGGTCGACGAAAGCAAATCAAAACAAAGTCAGTCCCAAGAAGTGATGGATCGGACAGTTGTGTGCACTCAATATGTGTCCGATATTGTTATTAATGATCACTCAATGGGCGCTCAAGACATTAGATCCGATGGATTACGGGAACAAAAATCGGGACATGAAATCATTACAAATCCCACGTCTAATACACTAGTTATCAGACAAAATGCGATCCAAAAATGCCCACAAATTCCCTTATTTCGGGAACTTTGCGATTACAACGGTTTGACTCAACTGGAGTGCAATCGTATCAGTGAACTGATGGGCGCATCAAATATATTGAATTATCGGTTGAATAAAAACGGATTTTCCTATAAAATCAATGATTTTGAGGAATATATGACCGATTTTTCCCACTTTAAGGAACTCTTCATTAGAGATATCATTAGTTTTACGAAACGATTGACGAGTTTTGGCAATATCTGCGCCGACGACCAGTTAATGCTAATCAAGTATAGCTCAAGCGATTTAATTTCAATCCTCAGCCTTAAGTATTATAATCCGGAGACTAAAAGTTTTATAACCCCTTTAGTAAGTATTATATTTAAGCTAGATACAGGGTGGTCGGAAAGTATGTCTTTTTTTAAAACGTTAATAACTCGTAAACTAGAAGAGATATTTTATTCAAATTTTTTGCAAAAAATACATAAAAGTATGGGACGATTAAATCATGTTTTCAAAATTTTTGACATCTATTACAATCACGTGGAATATCAATTTTTAAAAAATTGTCACTTTTCGGGCAATTATGTATTGTTTTAGAGATCGCCATTACGATGGATGAAAACACGTTAACCACACATCTTATACATCCACTCAAATAGTTTAGCAAAATTATTTTCCATTCTTAGCTGATTATTTACAAATGGCGGGATTTTCAAAAAACAATGCGATGTTTATGCTGAATGTCTTCATTCTGAAAATTGCGCCAGCAGTAAAGTAATAATTAAAAATGAAAACAATTTGCGTAACTATTTAAGTGAATGTATGGGATTTGTGCTTAACATGTTTTCATCCATCGTAATGGCGATTTCTAAAACAAGACATAATTGCCCTCAAAGTGCCAATTTTTAAAAAACTGGTATTCCACGTAATTGTAATGGATGTCTAAAATTTTGAAAACCTGATTCAAGCGTCCCATACTTTTATGTATTTTTTGCAAAAAATTTGAATAAAATATCTCTTCTAGTTTACGAGTTACTAACGTTTTAAAAAAGACAAAGACATACTTTCCGACCACCCTGTAACTTAAAAATGTATTAATTGCTATTTTAATAGGTAAATGACCAGGCTATGCAACTAAATTCAAACGTGGTTGATTCATTTTGCTATGAGAATCTGTTACAGGATTTTTACCATAGGTTTCTAATGGAGTGGAATTACAGTGATCCAGTTATTATTGCCTTGGTAAAATTATACAATACAATAACATTTATATGTTTAAATAATATTAATTATTTTAATTGTTTAGCTGACAGTAATCATATTATTTAACCCAAAACATACCAATCTGTCGCACAGATGTAGCATATCGTGAGTATTTTAATTAATGTAAAATTGCATAATTAATTGATCTAGATTATTTTTGTTTAGACTCGAACAACAACTGTATATATATTTACTGCAAAGATATCTACTATTGAAATACGGGTCCGAATCGGAGTCACAATTAAAGTTATATAAATTAATGAATACTTTAATTGAACTAAAATTGTTAAATAAAATTCAATGCGAATTGTTTAAAATTAAATGCAGTCTTTATAAGAGACATTTGGGACCGCTTATGACTGAAATATTTCACCATAATCATTAAAAATGTATAATTTTTATTGTATTAAAATGAGATAATTTAACACTAATTGATAAATAAGAAGTTTTGATTTATACAACTTATAAATAACGTTAATTTACTGTATAATAAATGAAACAATGTAAATTCTACTTTGTGTACTTATACTTGTTACTTGTATTTATACTTGTTACTTGTACTTATACTTATACTTATACTTATACTTATACTTATACTTATACTTATACTTGTAATTATACTTGTTATCCTTGGGTTAGAACTTCATGCAATATTATTATTATGTATAAAAATCATGTGTAAATAAATTGTCATTAAGTGATTGCAGCGCTTATTGACTGTATTATGAAATATTAGTGGGACTGCAACTGTACTACAAATACCACTCCCACTGTTAAACATGGTAACAACATAAACATGTATTTGTTGTTTAGATAAATTACTTTAAAACAAAATAAAAGTTTAAAGTTAATTTAATAACTGATATAAAGTCTAATTATAATTAAATTAACAATATTGCCAAACAATATGACCAAAATTTGTGATGTTTGTGGGGATAAAGGACTAGGTAAATTAATTGAAATTTTTAATCTATTATAATTAATTAAGAATTGACAATGTTTGCATTTATAGCCCGAAATTTTGGTGCCATTACTTGTGATTCGTGTAAATCATTTTTCAGAAGGACTGCATTTAAAAGTGTAATTTAAAAGTTTAATGTAAAATAATTTATTGTTATTAAATATTATTGATTTAACTGTATTTAGCAATTAATTTGTGCCTCAAATGGCAAATGCGATATCAATGTAATGACGAGAGGTTTGTGTCGTAAATGTAGACTTAAAAAGTGTTTGACTGTCGGCATGAAATCGGTATTTATAATTATTTGTTGTACTATTTATTAACAATATTAACTACTTTACAAACTTAATTAATAATTAAAGGAATTAATACAAAGCAATGGACAAAATAAATGCAAGAAAATATTGATAAAAGAAAAAGTATATAATTCAAAACATAAACCCAGCGATGAATCCAATAATTGCGATGATTTCTCACCAAATAATTCACAAAACAATTCACTGATTAGCGACACAACTATAGACGAGAATTCATTGTTTGAATTATTAAACATTAATTTATTTAATATCAATGATATTGAAAAGGAGTCGATTGTGAGTGAAAACAATAAAAGTGAAAAATATAATACAATGTCTGTTAACGAGAAGAAACGACGAGAATTGCCAGTAATTCCTGTATTTAAGACAATCAGTGATTATAATGGTATCAATCAATTGGAGTCCAAACGCATAACAGAACTACTGAACGCTTCCAACACTACATTCAAATATCCGCTACAAAGCAATGCAATTATACATAGGATTAAAGATATGAACGAATTTGCGAATAAATTCCAAGATTATAGCGAAACATGCATTAAATTAATTATTCAATTCACAAAAAGTCTCAACAGTTTTAACAATATCTGTGCCGACGATAAGTATGCGCTCATGAAATACGGGGGCAAAGATCTGGTGCTCATCCGATTCCTTAAACATTATGATAGAGAAAGTCATACTCTTATAACACCGATTGTAAGTTACATTTATGGCATGTATTATGTAAATATATTAATCAAATACCTTATTTAGGATCGAGATCATTCTGTGCAATTTGATTTGGGTTTGTACAGGGGAAATGATAAAACTAGTTTAACAAAACCTTATTATAATAAGTTTCGATCAATATGGAATTATGATGATCCCATTCTAATTGAATTGGTATTTATATATTACTTTCATGTATTATAATTTATTAATTTCTGACTAATCTATATTATTTAGTTAACAGCAATAATGTTATTTAACCCAAATAGGCCTAATTTATTACATAAAAATAGTATCAGGCAAGTATAATAGTTAGTTTTATATCAATATTGAAAAATTTAATTTATTTAATTTAATTGTTAGACTCGAACAACAACTGTATATATATTTACTGCAAAGATATCTACTATTGAAATACCGCTCGGAATCGGAATTAAAGTTACAACAAATAATGAATTCATTACAAGATGTCAATACTTTAAATCATTTACAAACCAAACATTTCGGTGATCTTAATAAATACGTAAAATATTTTGGGCCACTTATGGCCGAAATATGTCGACCATAATAATGACTAACTTAATGCTAAATTATTGCTATTTAGTAATCATCAAATTTATTTGTTATTCATTTTTATTTACTCTATGTATAATACCATATTACATCTTCACACAACATTAGTTAGATTATAATAATTATAAAATAAAGTTCTGTTACTAAAATGTTTATGTAACTAAAATAAAATAAACTTAATACTTAAAAATATTGGAATAATCGACATAATCAACACAAATATTATTAATAACTATTATTAATATTATTAATAACATTATAAATGAATGTGAAAATATAATTTAATAAAACTTGTTATTAGTGAGTTAAAACTTCAATGTCATATCACTTCAATATAGAGATCCTGTGTTAATAAACTGTCATTAAAACGATTGCAGCACTAAATTGAGTAGGAATTTAAATATATAACCCCCTGACCCGGATTAAGATTTTTTAAATTTTATTTTACCCACTGTAGAAACTTTACACTTTTTACATGTAAGTTTAATAAAGGCAATAAAATAATTGTAGGTCTGTGAAACAATAAATAATAAACATAATTAACCTTCAAATGCCATATAAATTCAATAAACTGTCATTAAGTGATTGCAGCGCTTAATCACTGATCATGAATTGATTGCAAGTGTTTACATCATGGTTGATGTATGTTTGTTGCTGTTATTGGTAAAAGTAACACATTATTGTTGATCTATGTTTATAAATTAATATAAATAAATAATACAAGTTATAAAAAATGACCAAAATCTGTGATGTTTGTGGTGATAAAGGACAAGGTAAATTAAATATTTTATTTATTTTATTAATAAAATATTACTTATTGTACAATTACCAATGTATTTACAGCTAGAAACTTTGGTGTCATAACGTGTTCCTCGTGTAAGACATTCTTCTGGAGATATGGACTTAAAACTGAGGTTTTTATTATAATTTTATGTTACTTTTAAAATAGCTATTGATATTAATATAATGTTAATTAAATTCAATTATAATACTAGTCATGGATGTGTCCATCGGATGGCAAATGCAATATAAATGTAATGACGAGACGGATGTGTCGTAAATGCAGACTTGAAAAGTGTTTGGCTGTCGGCATGAAAAAGGTATTTAATAATATAAATCGTTAATTATTAGTAAATATAATTAAATAAATATTATAGGAATTAATACGAAGTGACGATGAGATTAAACGCCGAAAAGAAAACAAATTACAATATAAACTCAGCGATGAATCCCATAATTGTATTGACTTCTCGGCTAATAATTTAGATATTGATTCAATTATTAGCGACACAACTATTGATAAAAACTTTACGTTTGATTTATTAGACAATAATTCACTCACTATTAGTGATATTGATGACGAGTTAATTGTGTTTGAAAACAAAACATGTGAAACATGTGTTTCAATACCAGTTAATGAAAATAGAAATACTGACAATGAAAGTAAACGACAAGAATTGTCTGTAATTCCTGTATTTAAGACAATCAGTGATTATAATGGTATCAATCAATTGGAGTCCAAACGCATAGAAGAACTACTGAACGCTTCGATTATATTTAATTATCCATTGGATAGCAATGCGAGTATACATAAGATTAAGGCTTACGACGATATGTTACCAGAATTTACAGAATTGTCCGACGAATTCATTAGACTTATCATTAAATTTACAAAAAGTATGAATAGTTTTAATAATATTTGTGCCGACGATAAGTATGCGCTTATGAAATACGGGGGCAGAGATGTGGCGCTAATCCGTTGTCTAAAGTATTATAATAAAGAGATCGAGTCTTTCATAACACCAACACTAGTTAGTTAAGCTATCACTTAAAAATTACCCGAATGCTAATTTTAATTATGCACTTGTTTAGGACCAGGCTCATGCATTTCAATTTAGTTTGGACCTTTATCAACCGCCGATTATATTGAAAACATTGAAATCATATTATGAAAAGTTTTTATCAATCTGGAAATATGATGATCCTATTATTATTGATTTGGTATAATTTATTTAAATACATTTACCGTATTATTATAATAATTAAATAACTACTATATAATTTTTTATCACAATTAAGTTATCGGCAATCATGCTATTTAATCCAAATCGAAGAAACTTTTTGCATAAAAATATTGTCAGGCAAGTAGTATTAGTTATATAATATTTATTTTTATAAAATTATAATTTAATATCATTGGTAATTAAATTATTAAATTAATTTGTTTGTTAGACTCGAACAACAACTGTATATATATTTACTGCAAAGATATCTACTATTGAAATATCGCTCGGAATTGGAATCACAGACAAGACTACAAGAAATAATGGATTCATTGAAAGACATCAATACTTTACATGAATTTCAAATCACACATTTTGATGAATATACTTTCATATTAAAATATATGGGGCCCCTTATGAGGGAAATGTTTTTACCGTAATATTTTTCACACATTTGCAAGAAACATTATAAAATAATTATTCAATAAGTTCATTTTTAAAAATAACATTTAGCATCACTAGTGTCTAGCAAATAATTAACTTTTAAATGTTGTTTGTTTATAATAAATGCAATGTAATTAAATTATTTTATATTATAAACTTAAATAATAAAACCAATATTATATTCATAATTCTCTACAGGAATTGTCACTTCTATTAGATTATCAAGTGATCCAATATTTACTTTTATTGCATACATCAATAGGTTTGCAAAACTTGTTCTGTATATGGGTTTTCATTGAAACTTTTCAATGCCATTTCAATAATACAAAACTAATTAAATAGATAATCGTCATAAATGTTTACAACACTTATTAAGTAATAACACCCATAAGTTGCTAACTTGTATTTACAATTTAATGGTGATTCTGGTAAACAATATTATTTGTGATTTAAACAAACATGTTCGCTTAAAACATATATTAGTTAAATACATAAACATAAATTAATTAACTATGAATCATAAGAAAACTAGCAAAATATGTGATATTTGCGGCGATAAAGGACGTGGTAAATATGGATTTTTGAATTATATTGAATCTACTTTACAGTGCGATTAACATTGCATTTATAGCCCGAAACTTTGGTGCCATGACTTGTGAGTCCTGTAAGTCATTCTTTAGGAGGAATGGACTTAAAAATGAGGTTTTGTTTTAATTTCCTATTAAATAAATAAATTTATTTATATATTTTTGATATTAATAGATATCTAATTGTGCCTCAAATGGCAAATGCATTATAAATGTGATGACGAGAAGACTGTGTACTAAATGCAGGCTTGAAAAATGTTTAGCTGTTGGCATGAAATCGGTATTTATTTGTGATTTATTTGTTATTTATAAATTTGAAATTAATTTACAGGAATTAATACGAAGTGATGAACAAAACAAATGTCGCAAAGAATTGATTAAAGAAAACAAATCAAAACATAAAACGAGAGATGAATCCCAGAATTGTGTTAATTTCTCACAAAATTATTCACAAAATGATTCAATTATTAGCGACACAACTATTAATGAGGACTTTATGAGTGATTTATTAGACAATAATTTATTTGATTTTATTGACACCGAAGAGGAGTTCAATTCAATTGAAAATAATAAAAATATAATTTCTATGAAAAATAATTCACCAAAAGAATTACCAATAATTCCTGTATTTAAGACAATCCGTGATTATAATGGTATCAATCAATTGGAGTCCAAACGCATATCAGAACTACTGATCGCTTCCAACACTATATTTAAACATCCGCTACAAAGCAATGCAATTATACATAGGATTAAGGATTGGGACGAATTTGCGGACAAATTCAAAGATTATAACGAATTATTTATTAGATTAATAATTCAATTCACAAAAAGTCTGAACGGTTTCAACAATATCTGTGCCGACGATAAGTATGCGCTCATGAAATGTGGGATCAGAGATCTGACAGTAATCCGAGGCCTTAAATATTATGATAAATATAATCACAGTTTTATAACACCAATTGTAAGTTATATTATATTTATTGCAATTTACTGATGTAAATTTAACAATCAAATACTTTATTTAGGATCATGAACATTCAATACAATATGATTTAGAGTTATTTATGCCGGCAGAGAAAACTAGTTCATTAACAACTTATTATAATAAGTTTCTATCAATATGGAATTATGATGATCCCATTCTAATTGAATTGGTATTTACTTTATAAATCTTTTATTATTATTAACTTAATTTATCATGATTCATTAATTTGTCTATAATTTCATTTTTAGTTGACAGCAATCGCATTATTTAACCCAAATCGGCCGAATTTACTGCATAGAAATAGTGTCAGGCAAGTAGTTTTATATTGTGATTTATAATTATATGCAACTTATATAAATTTGCATAATTTATTTTGTTAGACTCGAACAACAACTGTATATATATTTACTGCAAAGATATTTACTATTGAAATATCGCTCGGAATCGGAATCACAAACAAAAGTACAGCAAATAATGAATTCATTACAAGATGTCAATACTTTAAATCAAATTCAAACCAAAAGTTTTGAATTTGATATGTATTTAAAACATTTTGGGCCTCTTATGAGGGAAATATGTTTACCATAATAAAACTATAAGATATTACTATGGATAGAATAAAAGTGACACTTTGGTGACAAAAAATATATATTAAAGTGTAATTTTGTATGTTTTTCACCTTAATCTAATACTTTTAATGTAGAATCTCATGAATGAATCATGTTGAAATATACATTAAAATTATAATTTCTATCCTTAGATATTACTGATAGAATATTGCTATTTGGTTTAAATAAAATTCATTTATTCTTCATTTATTGTATACACAAAGATATATTTATTTTACATTTAAAAATGTATGATATATTTATAACAAATCAATAATAATTTTGTGATCCACTGTAATCATGGTAACTAAAATAACATAGTCCTAATACAAGAAATTAATAATAATTTTTGCTATAAAATTAATAACATTTAATGAATTCAGAAACAAAAAAGTTTCAAACAATTATAAACAATGTTTCTATTTATTGTTAAATAAGGTAAATTTATGCGGTTTTTTTAGCACTATTACAAACAGGTTTTGAGAATAATAGACATAATAATTACTTTTTGTTAGACTTCAATGTCATATCAAATCAATAAACTGTTGTCAAAGCGATGGCAGCGCTTATCTACTGATTGTAAAATGATTACAAGTATTTACATCATGGTTGGTGTTGTTATGTTGTTTTGAATGGTAATATTAAATATTATTGTTGATCCATGTTGGTGAATTAATATAAATAAAATATAACTTATATTCAAAATGACAAAAATCTGTGATGTTTGCGGCGATAAAGGGAGAGGTATATAAAATAAAATAAATTATTTTTAATGATCAAGTGCATTTTTAACATTGTTATTTATAGCCAGAAACTTTGAAGCCATGACCTGCGAGTCATGTAAGATATTCTTCCGAAGACATGGACTTAAAAATCAGGTTTTGATTGTATATTGTTTCAACTGTAAACTAATTATTGATTTAAATTATATTAATAGCAATTAATTTGTGCCTCAAATGGTAAATGCGATATAAATGTAATGACGAGAAGTTTGTGTAGAAAATGCAGACTTGAAAAGTGTTTCGCTGTCGGCATGAAAAAGGTTTTTATTTACTTATTTGCCGTTATTTTTACAAATATTAATTATAGTTAATAATAATTAATTGTTAATTAATTAATTATCAGGAATTAATACGAAGTGTCGATCAAAACAATTATAGAAAAGCATTGATTAAAGAAAATAAATCAAAACATAAACTCAGCGATGAATCCCATAATTGCGATGATTTCTCATCAAATAATTCACAAAACAATTCAATTATTAGCGACACAACTATTGACGAGAACTTTACGACTGATTCATTAGACAATAATTTACTTGATTTTGATGATATTGATTGGGATGTGAATGTTATTGAAAACAACACACATGAAAAAACTAATGCAATTCCCTTTAAGAATAATTTACATCAAGAATTGCCAGTAATTCCTGTATTTAAGACAATCAGTGATTATAATGGTATCAATCAATTGGAGTCCATAAGGATATCGGAATTAATGAATGCTTCAAATATATTTAATTATCCATTGAATAGCAATGCGTTTATACAAAGGTTTAAAAATTTGAATGAAATGATATCCGGAACTAAAAATAAAAGCGAAGAATTCATTAGACATATCATTATATATGCAAAAAGTCTGAACGGATTCAACAATATCTGTGCCGAAGACAGGCATATGCTTATGAAATACGGGACCAAAGATCAGCTTTTAATCCGTTGTCTTAAGTACTATAATAAGGATATTAAAAGTTTCATAATACCAATAGTAAGTCTATCACCTTGTTAGTTTTGTTATTTAATTATTATATTTATTATTTAGGATCGTGATCATTCAATACAATATAGTTTGGACTTATATAAACTGCTTGACTTTAAGACCATGATGGAAATATATTATGAAAAGTTTTTATCAATCTGGAATTATGATGATCGTATTATTATTGAATTGGTATAATATTATTATATTAATTAATTTGTATTTTAAATAAACTCTATTTTTATTTAGTTGACAGCAATAATATTATTTAACCCAAATCAACCGAATTTATTACATAGAAATAGTGTCAGGCAAGTAGTTATATGCACTAAATAAATTATTAAAATTAAAATTATTTGTATTTAATTAAAAATGTATTTGTTTGTTAGACTCGAACAACAACTGTATATATATTTACTCCAAAGATATCTACTATTGAAATACCGCTCGGAATCCGATTCACAGACAAAAGTACAGCAAATAATGTATTCATTGAATGATATAAATGCAGTCAAAGAGATTGAAAGCAAATATCTTCAATTGAAATTGTATTCAAAATATTTGGGACCACTTCAGGCAGAAATATTTTCATCATGATATCATTTAATTATTAGTTAAACTCTGGATTACTTAATAATAATGTGTATTCTTTCATAACAGAATTTGTTATAATTCTAAACATTATACAATCATGATAAATTAAAATTTTTTAAAACAATTCCGTGTTTTTATTGTTAATTAAATCTTATATTTCTCAATTAATTTATCATTTGAAGAAATTTAAAATATTAAAAATAAATAATTATGGTAGATTTAAAATTATACATTTAGAATCTCTTTATATAGGGGTCCGTAATAGTAATATGCATTGTGTTTATTATATTCTTCTCTTTCGTAGTCTCTATGAAATTCTGATGCAATTCTTAAATCACTTAAACTGATCATCAGGTTTTGCAAACTTGTCGCCGATTCCCACTTTGACCGCCGTTTTAATAGTAAATATTTTTGCAGTAAATATATATACAGTTGTTGTTCGAGTCTAACAAACAATTAACTTAAATCAGTTAATGACTGCAAATTAAATATTAGTAAAACAATAACTTACTTAACATTTTCTCGATGTAATAGAGTTGGTCGATGAGGGTTATAGAGTATAATCACTGTTAACTATAAATACAATGTTATATAAAATTAAGTTAGCATCTTTTAATAATAAATAAATCACATAATTTACCATGAGCATAATAATAGGATCTAGATTCCATTCGGGCATTACTTTATCCAAGAAAGGTTTATATCGTTCATAACCACTCCATTTAGCAAATTCTGGTATTTTATTGCACATTCTCACTGAATATTCATTGTCCTGGATGAATTTAAATTATGTTAGTTGACTAAAATACAATATAGCACTGATATATTGTATACTTACTATACGGCACACCATTTCCGGTGTGTGGGGATTGAAATGCATTGCAAACCTAAACATTATTACCTCAAAACACCCGCTCCTGAGTAGTGACAACTGGTCTTCACTACACAAACTGTCCAATTGTTTGACAAACTTTGTAACTTCTCTAATGTGACAGTCTATGCGTTTCATTGAGACCAGGTACATTTCTCTCTCGTTGGTAATGTCTATAATCACTTTATTAGATGGATAGGCAAACACTTTGGCCGCCCATAACAACCCCGATATCCGCTGTAACTCGAGTTGATTTATGCCGTTATAATTAACGAGTGATTTAAACACCGGAATAGCTGGCCATTGTCTCACATTTAGCTCTTGGTTTGATTGACAACTGTTCTCAATGTCCATAATCTGTTGGTTGAGGTCATTGTCACTAATATCTGTTGTCGAGTCAATTAAAGCGTCGATTTCGTTGCAATTATGGGAAGAGATGGCTATTGTTGTGGTCGTAGTCCTCGTCTCCTGTGCTGAGGGTTTCGATGTTTTCAGTAGTTTTTGTCGGCGTTTCTCTTCGCCCATCCGTCGTCTCCACTCGTTTTCCTCATCGCTTCGTATGAATTGCTGTTTGAATGAAATTTTTGATAAATAATTTCAATAATTAATATAAATTATTAATAGATTTAATTACGGATTTCATTCCGACGGCCAAACACTTGTCGAGACGACATTTCGGGCAATATTTTCTGGTCTCTGGTGTTATAATGCAATCGCCGTTTGCAACACATTTCAAATAATTCTGATATAAGTAATAGAAACACATTATAACTTATAAATTAATTGTTATTCATATTAATAACAAACATTGACTTTAAGGGTTAGTCGACGATAAAATGCTTTGCATGTCTCGCATGTAATCGCACCGTAATTACGGCCTAAAAGTTTTTATTGTAAACAAATTAAGAAATATAATAATTAAAATTACTTTATTACATTTAAGTTGAGTAAATAATTTGTAATAACTTAACAGGAAAAACGTATTTTCACTTACCAACTTGTTTATTATCACTACATATTTGACATATTTTTACTTTTACTTTATTACTACTCATATTTTTTACATAATCATAAAACAAATAATTATATTTGTAAAAATCATGACATTTAATACACAAGCAATAAATACATTCTTGTTATTAGAAAACCACTAATATATTATAGTTATTAATACTAGTTATTGAATAATTATTAATGTGCCAATATATAACAATACAGAAACTATCTGTAAGTACTCTCGATCATTGTAATTGATACAATTAACATACATGTTGTATGTTTTAATGTTTGTATCCATGAATTGTATAATGTATACAAGTACAAGTATATGTAAGTTATGTTATAAAGGAGGTGCCTGAATCAATAAATTGATATCAATTATTGATAAATAAAAATTAAAATATATTTTTTTCCTGTTTTGTATAGTTTTAATAAAACTATAAGTTTTAATTAAATGTTACATTATAAACATCTGGTATCAACTTTAAACGTCTTGTTATGGCTAATATCTCAATTACTCATTCTCTGTACAAGTTTTCCCTTAATCTCAACACAACTATAATTTCAATTACTATTATTTTGGTTTTAAAAACCATATTTAACAATATTTGAACATGTTCAATTTAATCTTTATTTTAATCATCATTAATACAGTCATATGTAAGTCAAATATCTGCTGAACATTCACAATTATGTTATAATTAATAGTTTTATTGAATTTCATGCTATACTAAATCAAATAAATGTGTTATTTACAAAATTACACAGTAATTGACCCTGGTCCACTGAGCAAGCAACAATTTGGCGCATCAATAATTCCTAAATTTACCGTTTCGTATGACACGATCGTTATCACCAGACATATGATTGCCAACTGATCAATGTTTGATGTGATCTGCAAAGCAAAAAGGTTTTGGTCATGGTTAAAGGCGAGGGTCTGACCTGGACATAAAAAGATCATGATGAGAACAAATACGTAATTATGTCTATTTTGGTTTTGATTGTAATGAACATAAGTTTTTGTTGTTATATAGTTTTATTTAAAAAACGTGTCAAATTTTTAACATAATAGTTCTGTTTTAATATAGATTTACTGATATTTTGCTGATATTATGACCAGAATGATACTGGACCCATAGTCGGCACTCGGGTTCTGCCTTAAGCTGAGCCCCCAATAAACATGTGGCAATCGTCTCGGCAAATACAGTGACCAAGGTGGTATTGGTTAAATTAATTTAACCGATTATGAAATGTGGTGATTAAGGATTTCCTCAACATCTTATAAAAGCCACAAATTAGGGTATAGTAACTATTGTCAGGAAAAAACTAATTAGTGTAACTAAACACTAGTTACTGTAAACCTTAATTACAGTTAAGACCCTTAATTAATACCTAATTGACACGTGACTCTACTCTATATATTTTTCGCGCCAATAC